CTAAGCACTTAGCAGGCGATTGCGCTATTCCTTCCATTTGCGTGCCACATTTCATAATCATGAAATACGTCAGTCAATATTAGGTTATTCGCCTGCGTGAATGTCCACCTGAATGTGCCACGCGCATCACATGTCTCCCAAATGTGCTCACCTTCTTGCGTCACTGTGACCTACATAGTGGGCTCAAAAGTTGCGTCATGTGCGAGCACGTCATCACTCAAACTACGGCACCCAAATTATTCGGGGCACATGTTTTCACGTGTACCTGACGAATATGGCTAAAATGCACCTGAACGTACAAAGAACAATCGGGGGAAAACAAACCGTAGATTTATGAAGACTTTTCTGGTAGAAGTGCGTGAGACAATCGACTGATGCCAATGGATTCCAACTAGAGAACATGATACGCTGATTTTTACCGAAATGCAATGACTCGGGATAGATACAGAAGATTTATTGCTTGAAGATAAATTGCTCAGGCTTGTACTGAGGGTTAGTCATCCATCGTCACGAATCAGGACAGTGTTTGGCAATGGTCTGTGTGAAGGTTGAAGCAGTAAGATGAAATGCACCAATGAGACGTGATTGTCTCCAGCATTGGATGATTAAATATGGATCATATTGAGACTGCATAGGTTTCTACAGATCGGAAATCCCGTTGACTTATGCACGACGTACATAGGCAGTGAGAACATAAGGAATCTCTCAAACATATTTCAACAGTCGTGAAAAATTCTGAAACATCGGTTTCAGCCCTACTACCGAATTTATGACTCGAGTTCTGGGAGTTACTGAAGTGTATCAAACATAGGTAAGACGTATCTGCTGGCTTTTGGAGCATGCTTCAAGAAGGGGTCTCTTAATGGAGATTTTTCCACTCGACGAACCTGTCAGATAACACGTGACCACATGCCAGTGCCGTTATGACGAATGTTAGTGTAACGGTAGTATACTGCATTATATTAGTGAAAGGATGTATATTATAAGCGCCATAGAACACATATAAACAGACATCCTACTAACATTAAACGGGTAACAGAGCAAATTGATCTGCATTCCACCTACAGGACCCGTCAATGGAACCGGCAGTGAGCTACGTTTTACAAAAGCCAGATCACGGGGTGCTGTTTTTGGGCATCCCAAGCACGATGTTTCTCAATACTGCTTACATATCGGGATTTACTTTATTCTCCGACAAATTGAATAGACAAATAAAATATCTGTAAACCCGGATGGGAACCTAGCAGGAAAGTTCCAGGTGGAAAGTTTGAACCAGTTGGAATACAAGGACTCCGTGCAATAGGTGTTAAATCTACATCAAGCCGCCACGTGACATTATATCAGGCATTGTGTAGCGCATCGCAAAGGTGTGTTCAGACTCGAAGACAATCGGGAGATTCAGGCCTTGTCTCGAATAACCTTGCACACCAAAGTGGAGGTAAAGGCAAAGATGCCATCAGACGTTACACAAAACTACCCACATAAAACTCTTAAAATGAAAACGCGTAAAATGAACATCAGATTTCCATCACTGAAGACCACTCACGCATTGCTAGTGCCAATACTTTACGCGTATAGTTTGTCAAAGAGAAGTGGTCTACCACAGAGCATAAACTTCAAGTATATTTCACTTAAAAGCGGTTGATAGCGTCCACGGTATATGCCTCCCTATTTCTCGTATGGGGTTCTTTGAGCTGTGCAACAGGAGAATACGCATAGGCGGCGGATGAAAGAATTCAAAATAAAATGCGGGTCCCAGCCAGTAACAGGTTTTAGAAACGAAACCACGGGTGATGACAACAATCAACTTTTTAAAATCTATCGACCCCTCCAAAGGCATGACTGTCATCTTCATTCCCGAATTGCTTTTCTGCTATTGCTGTTTACACCATACGTTCGATAGTTCTTGGTGAATCCGAGCGTCTTTTTTTCAGACTGACGAAAATTGGTCACCATCTTTCAAGCGGTCGGAGTGTACCCTATCGATTCATGTGTTTCATATGTAGTAATGCTCACAGCCACAGGTTTAGACACGCCTGCGGACACCAAGGAAAATATTGTGTGCGTGATTGGGTGTGTGCGGACACATTACTCTCACCTAAGAACTCAAAAGTACAGAAACCCATCCGCATATACTTCCAGTGGAACAATGGGTTACCTCAACAACCACCAGAAGACGGAACAAACATAGAGGTGCTTCTAACGCTGCTGAAGACTGATAAACCACGACCGGTTTCGCCTTTCTTGAGGCTCTTCAGGTAGGCGTAGACCTCGAGATTCCGTCAATCTTATGCTCTGCTTGAAACCAGATTGGACGGTATTCACCATATACTATCTTCCGCATACTTATTTTGGTCCTGACGGAAAACTTAACTAAATCCAGACGAACTTCTTGTTTGCGGCTTTATTCAACCGTCAAATTTACCCAAGACACGTTTTTAAAGACGGTCTCCGGTGGTATATACGTGTTGGTTGATGTGACTGATTGTATAGCATAAGCTTATTATCATCCGCAAGTTACTTTCAAGACGGTGCATGTTTTTTCCACCATAAGAAAGCGTGGTGTGAAAAGTCCGAAAACGCAATTACTAATAACGACGTTCGTTGAATGGATGGATCTGAGGAAGTGAGTTCCTAGCAGATCGCAAGGAGAGGAGGCTCGCAATTCTAAATTACTTCAGAGACGAAACTAAGCCAGCGCCCTTGGATCCACGTAAAATCCCATCGATGGGTAAACTGTAACCTGTAAACTGTAAGACCAAGAAGACAATGTGACAGCACTAAAAAGCGACGATCTACTCTATTCTCGCTTCCCCATTGTGAGACAACACGATACTAGTGAGTCCGAATATCAACGTGACCGACACACTCAGATTCAAGTTTTACTAGCAGTTTACTAGTCATCGGGTTCCCTTCGAGGATAGTGACAATTAAGAGTATCTAGTCAAGTTCGCTTTACAAGCAGATTTTCTAGCAGATATCAACCGCACGAACGCAGGAGTTCTGCGCCAGTAGTGCTGCTGACAATCATGATGAGAGAACGACAAGTTACTTTGCCGTAAAAGACAACTATCGAATGGAGGAATTGCAAAGTTTAAGACAAGAGTACCTTGCGGGACTCTTCAGATGGATGCATGACACCCGGAATAATTGTACGCCATCGAATTCCGAGGTCGTTACTAGATTCTCGCAAGCAAAAATCAGTCAGTTTTCCTACTACTGATAAGAGCATAAGCAGTTGGAACGGATAGCCAAGTGGTTGTGGCAAACGAACTAACAACACCCACCAGAAGGTCCAGATAGAAACCATCGATATGCACATACATAGTGGCCCGAAATATAAAAACCGCGGATGATTTCATCAGTCACAGCGTTTAGTAAGTGCGCTACCTTATCTCTGGTTCAAAATATCAGCTCCTCACTAAAGAAACCGGAAGGTGAGTTATACGTTGACTGACAGCTAAACCTCTCGTTTGTAACACTGCTCAACGGAAATACAGGCAGAATCGTGTGAGGCAAAATACTGGGTGAAAGAAACTGTGTAAAATCATCAAAATGGGGTAATACAGAACCGATCAGCGATACCATCCCGCATAGAGAATTTTCTTCGTTTATTCCGCCTCAAATCCCCACAAATATCACTTCGCTGCACCATGAACGGAAATAGCAAGTACTTCTCCATGTCCTCAAAAGACATCCGTCGACCCAGTCTAAACATCATATGTTTTTGTAGCTCTGTATGCCATTGTGGTATTTCCTCAATGCGGTCACAAAAGAGTTAGGATCAAGACTAAGTTTGGCTTATTCAAAGCATTCAGACAACCCAACATTAGCCAACTTTCGATAACCAGAGTTTGAATCGCTGTAAGTTCAAAACCTACCAACTTGCTGCCTACTTGTGGAAGCAAGTGGCCAATACACAATATTACACCAGCCGTTTACTGTCATTAATTTGCTTGACTCGCATGAAGGGAAAAAGGAAGCGCTTGTCGAATTTCGATTAGGGATGCGTTCAGAAAACGCAGTATTGGAAATTCCGAAATTCTGCAACATTCAGAACTGTAAGCAAAACAAGTAGCCTGAGATTCAACGCGGTTGGAATCGAATCGTCCATTATTTGGAGTCAGTGAAAGGACTACATTACCACCGGCGATGAGGGGAATTTCTTTATAGATTATACCAGCACATGGATCAATCTCAGGTCTAGAATGTTCCAGCCGAGGAGCTCTGATCCCGTGTATTTTCTCGGTTGATCGGATGAGCGGATTAGCAAGGTGAATGGATAATAGGACTCTGGATCGCACATACAGATATCGAGCGGCCTTATATAGCTAAATTTTACCACAAGTAGACAAGAGCATGGGATGTTCGAAATAAGAACAGAGAAACTCATAACTCTCAAATTATCAAGATAGGTTTTATTCTAGCGCAATCCTAGTCATCACCTTACCCAACTAAGAGTTCATTGTGCATACTGCCAAACCATCAGAAGATGCAGTGTTTGAGGAAAAAAACGGTGTATTATACACATGTTAGGGAGTGGGTGAGAAAGAGAATGTATATATCAAACATTAACCGAGTGTTCACATACTTATGGATCATAGAAAACACAGTACGCTACTGAACAGGACTACCAATTTCGTCCCCTACCACGATAGTTCCGAGTGGAATCACCGGATGCTCGGTTTTGTGGTTGGTTACCGCGGGACCAACGGCCAATAGGTGGGGCGTAACGAGGTTGTTCTCGGCGGGACATTGTTGAACGGGTCGGGGACTCCGTACTTTGGAGGTTGGCCATAACGGCGGGGCGTTTCGATCCGGGTGAAATAACGGGGTCGGTTTTAAGCCAGGAAAAGGTTATGTTTGTTTGGAACACAGGCGGGTTGTGGAAGAACAATCGAACCAAGTTTGGGATGTTAGTGACCAGCTGCAATAAAGAGGTATTTTGAAGTCTTAGTGATACAGTATTCACCCTTATCGATATGAAAATCTGGCTTACGAAGTTTATTCATTGTAACTCTCCCCAACGCTCTGTTTCCAAAGCTGATAACAGACATTCGCCTTGGGCTGGCTGGGCCAATAAGGTAGTATCAGGTACGCACTACTCGGTAAAATATTCCAGCTGAACTGTCAACTGAAGGAAAAGGATGAGGCAAGCTATGACAACTCCGTAGTTTTCGAGTTCCCAAAAAGCACAATTGTTTTCGTGATTGTGCAGAAATTCACTTTCCGGCAAAATTCTCTTCTGATTGCCTAATCCATTGTCCAGGAAAACGATCGTAACAAGGGTTAACAATCTGGGTTGATATACTCCATTCAGAATGCGTAACGGCAATGGATAGCTGGAAAAAATCTCACGGTTGGAACACAGCCAGACAGAAATGAATTCGAGTAGCACGCCTTCATTTGTAAACCACTCACGAAGAAAGTCTCTTTCTGAGAAACTTCGGAATCACCCAAAAGCGTTCCCTCGATGTACGGCAGGATAAAGAGTATCGTAGCCACGCACAATCTAAGAGAAGTGACCTTGCGAACATCTCGGGAAGGTTTGGTAACATCCTGATTGAGTGTGCTAGCTAATCCTTCACCATACATTATTGAGAATGCTATTCGTCGCCATAAGCTCCAAGGACTCAAAACTATGAGGAGCTTTTACGGGTAGCAGTCACTAAGATTGTTTGGTAGGAAGGCTAAAAAAGTAATAGTCAAAGAAAGTGCACCTACTGCTCAGGTAACTATCTTCTAGTAAGATTTGCTCAAGAGACTCTGCTTTGCACGGTTCATCAGGAATGCGCATACTTCTTGCCCGGTGGTTATACTGCCTTGAATAAGTCACATTCATAATTCATTGATATGAGACATGAAAAATGGATGGACTAGTCACTTTTATGGTGGACATTAGGAGTTAATGTTATCCGGACAATATCTGAGCAAATTCTGTACGAATAAAGGCATATCGTTTTACGCCTCTTCGTACGGCACAGATAAATTGCTATGATTATTATCGAGATGAAAAATGTCCACGGCTGACGTGGAACTCCATTCAAGGACTCAATGAGAATATCCTCCTAAATGTCGAAATGCCGATTGCCTAGGATCGTTTAATGACTTCCAATCAGGTGGAGGCTGATCTGTTCGCCGAGCTTATTGATTAGCTTGCGTCAACTGTCGGGACGGTGTTAAGGACAGAGATTGGTCTTCGCTGTTCAGCAGACTGTAACATTTAAAATGGAGCCTTTGACTCAATATTGATGCACATCAAACCGTAACTAAAAAAACACGGATTACGCACCTACTGTATCATCAATGTCTGACTGACCATCAAGGGCTATCAAATTACGACAATTAATAGAAACCAACTGAAGTTGACTGTCAAGTTCGGATCAAATGCACATATTAAGGTTTGTACACAATATCCTAAAATAGCGTTACATGATCAGATAGACACTTGGCCGATAACGAAAAAGAACAACCATCTGCTGGACAACAGAGTACTGAGTTGAGACAAATTTCATACACCTAAAAACTCACACGGTGCGCGATAAGTTTGGCTTTGTTCTCATCTGTATGCCCATTTTGTCCCAAATGTCCCGCAATCGATTGCGAATATTCCTGAGCTACTTGACTAAGATACTGCAACCGAGGTCGAATCTGCCGCAAGCGAGCCGCTCCGAGTTGAACTTTTTCGGACTCTCGCTCTTGCTCCGATGAATAACCTCCAAAATATTGTGGCCTAACTCGGCCAAGCTGACAGCAAATACAGAGTAAACATTCAAGCTCGGAGAGTTTGAGACCTGTAGGGAATACCGGCTTTTCGGGAACCGTTTTCCCCTCCACAGGAGGATCTGATGGCTGAACAAAAGGTGTGGGTTTTTAAAGCAACAGCACACATACCTGAGCATCGACCGATGCGTTCGGTAACTCTGGTAAGTAGTGGACGAGTGAATCGAAGGCGTACTGAAGACATTGCTCCTGTTCACTAGCAGTAAGAGCACTAAGATCCGATTCGTGGAGACTAGCCAATTCAGCAGTAGAGCGCAACAACGAAAACTTGTCTTCTTCCAAAGTGTCTGGGATGTGGACAATCTTCGGTATAACTTTTTGTAGCAAATACATATACAGTTCACGCGCATGAACGTTTTTCTGTGGCAGTCATAAGTAACAAGGCAAAACAATTGGAGAAATCTACCGAAATGCAGAGCGCTGCCTGCTTGACACTTTCTCGAATTTGAGCCACGCACGCTGGGTCAGTCGGCTAGAATCAATAAAAGTACGTAATGCAATCAGGATTTGGTCAAACTTACGCTGAATTCCGGACAGGCTTGTAAAGCCTGCTCAGTAATCATGGCCACCAACTTCTGACGTCCAGGCAAAGTTGACATGCATTTCAGTGAAGACAAAATTGATACGACAAGAGGAAATTCCTCCTCCGAGACGTCGTGTAAGACTTTATTGACTTGCTCGACAACAAATTCTTCAACTTCTGAAGATAATTTGTCTTCGGGGAGAGTCTTTAACCGGTCCACCAGGAACTTCATTACATGCTCTCGAGGATTCTCGGGGTTGACGGTCAACATTTGGTTGAAAACACCGGCAAGTGTGGCTTTGGGCTCTAGTGTTAGCAGCTGATTTAATGAGAGGGATATCACATGCATTTCCTACAAAAATGTTATGTAATAAGTAAGCATACCGAAGCATCCTCAGTCTGAAACATTTGTACAAGGACATCAGCAACACGGGGAATGAAAGATGGGATACGTTTGCAGAATTGCATGAGGTCATGCACTGCCTGTTTGCGGATGGCGACATCTTCATCATCGCAAAGGTCCAGAATACAATTGAAACTTTCCTCTCTCAGATTCTCGAACTGTTTAGAAAACCTGGCAATGAACTGGGAAGCTAAACGCTTCTCAATGTCACCACCTTTTGTGCCCGATAGAAAGGCTCGGTATGCAGCTTCTCTCTAGAAAGATATCCGAAATAGGCAGACACTGGTTATTGGTTTACCTCATCCGCGCTAGATGCTTCATTATTCAGGGTATCATAGTAGGCGTAGAGTTCCGTCACAGTTGGAGTGGTCATTGATAGATGAGTCGGTATCCGAACGGTTTACTTCGCTGAAACAGGAAACAGGATTACAGGAAGGATGTCTAGAGGTAACGTTGCGACTGATGATTGGTTAAAGTCAGCTGCAACTGAAGCCAAGAGGTTTGCGCCAGAAGCAGTCTTAGTGGTCCAAATTACTCCACCGACTTTTAGGAACACTGTGTGTAGTTGCAATAAGATCTACTCACGGTGAAAAGTTCATATGAATCACATAACCGTCCCCTTATTGTCAAATGACTTTTGAATACCAAACATAGTAAATATTTTCCGCACAAGACATGGTTTAAATAGACACAAGAATAAAGTGCCGATTTCCGGTGTGTGTGAACGAAGTCGGCCTTTAATAATTCAACCGCATGGTACCATACTGAGGTATTTTGGTAGTATTTCAGCTCCCGTTCATCCCACCATACTCGTTACATGAAGACGATCTTCCCACGAGCCCTATTCATTCGTCCACATTACTGCATCAGTATATATATATATA